CGGTCTCGGCCTCCAGCACGTTGCGGAGGACCTGCTCCACGGGGATCTCCCCGGCGTAGCCCGCCCCCCAGCCCAGGGTGTTGGACAGGTCGTTGCCCGTCCCCAGAGGGAGGATGGTGACCCGGGGCACGAACTGGTCCTGCCCCTGTGGGGAGGCAGCCAGATGTTCAGAGACAGCTGCTAACGGGGACGGAAAGTTTGGATTTAAGGGGAAAACTAGTCTGAGTTAGTCAGAAACGTGGAGCTCCGGATCTGGAGGATCCATCCATAGGTTTAGCTCTATTTTAGCTCTACATTGGTCATTTTAGCTCTATAATTGACTTATTTTGGTCATTTTAGCTCTATTTTAGCCCTATTTTGGTAATTTTAGCTGTATTTTGGACATTTTAGATCTATAATTAATCTATTTTGGTCATTTTAGCCCTATTTAAGTTGTATTTTGGTCATTTTAGCTCTATAATTTACCTATTTAGGTCATTTTAGCTCTATTTTAGCCCTATTTTGATAATTTTAGCTATATTTTAGCCCTATTTTGGTAATTTTAGCCAAATAATTGATCTATTTTGGTCATTATAGCTCTATTTACGCTCTTTTCGATTGGAATTTTTGGTCATTTCATCATTGTTTTGGCTATTTTGGTGTATTTTTGGTCATTTTAAGCCTTGTTTTTGCTTTTTTGGTGTATTAAAAAACTTAGAAGTGAGGATCCATCCCTCCATCAGAGCTGCTGGTGTTCAGTCCACTTCTGGTTCCTCTGGCAGAGCTCAGCATTTTCTGTTTCTGCTCCACATGTTGGTTCCTGGTTTCATTCAGTTTCTGACCCACTGTGGGAAATCTGTGAGGTTTAGCTGATATTAAATAACAGAGAGGGATACATTTAGCTCAGTTTTAGCTCTATTTTGGTCATTTTAGGTCTATTTCAGCTCGATCTAGGTAATTCTAGCTCTATTTAAGCTCTTTTTGGTTGTATTTTTTGTCATCTTAACCCTTGTCTGACAGAGCTCAGAAATCCTGGATCACTTAAAACACTATAAAGGAGGTCTGGCTGCTTTGAGGGAAAATATGAAGAAATTAAAGGTGGATGAAGACTTTGTGAACTAATATTTATCCTTCTAATCCACTTTTAACTTCTGCTCTGCCAATTGGACACAGCGCCGGCTCATCCCTTGAGTTAGGGGCCTTTTTCCTGACCCAAGTCATTCAACAAAGATCAAAACTGGACTAAAAACGAGTTAAAAAAAAGTAGAAAATATCAGAACAAAAAGTCTGAAAGAGCTCAGAAATCCTGGATAAGCGTCACTAAAAACCCTTAAAGAAAAATATGAAGAAATTAAAGGTGGAAGAAGACTTTGTGAACTAATCTTTATCCTTCTGATACACTTTTAGATACTGCTCTGCTGATTGGACACAACGACGGCTCATTCCTTGAGTTAGGAGCTTTTTATCGTCCCGAATGACTCACAGAAAAAAAAAAACTCCTCTGAAACTGCTCCGCTACGAGAGCTGGACTGAAAACCTGAAAAAAAAACAACATCTGGTCTGTGTGGGCTCGCCTTCAGCTTCATGGCGTCCACGGCGTCCAGCACCCAGCCCACCGTCCCGTCACCGCCACACACCAGCACGCGCACGCCACCGGGGGGCAGCAGCGTGCACAGCTGCAGCGCCTTAGAGGGGGTCAGCTCCGAGAGGTCGAACACCTAAGGGCAGAGGGGAGGGTTTAAAGGGGGCGGGGCTTAAAGGGGGGAGGGGTTAAATGGCTGGGGCGGGGTTAAAGGGACGGGGTTGAAGTGGGGAGGGCTTAAAGGGGGCGGGGTTAAATGGGGCGGACTTAAAATGGGAGGGGCTAAAGGGGGCGGGGTTAAATGGCTGGGGCTGGGCTAAAAGGAGAGGGGTTGAAGTGGGAAGGGCTTAAAGGGGGCGGGGCTACAGCTAGGGAGAGTTTAAGGGGTGGGTTTAAACTGGGGAGTGGTTAAAGGGGGGAGGGGTAAAGGGGCGGACTTAAATGGGGGAAGGTTTAGAGGGGCGGACTTAAAA